AACTAGATTGAAGAACAAAACGACAGCAACTTGTCTGTTCCCCTTTCCCCAATTCCCCAATAAAAATCTTAAAAAAAAAAAAAAAATCCAGCATATAAAATAGACTTTAAAACAGTCAAATGAATCCAGCTGAAATGATGACCAAGTATACTGGACCACTTGCCTCCCTCCATTACATTCACACACAATCCTTTGCCAACACACCGATCATCTTAAATACTAGATTTGATGTTTACTGATAAATTAAATGTTAATCACCACATGTAACACTGTTTTTGGAAGCAAAATGATAGTTAAGAGTACAAACTCTGAGGCAAAATTATTGGGGCTAGGATCCTGGATCCAAACCTAATCTGCATAACTTTTGGCAAATTAGTCTCTGTCCCTGAATTTCCTCATCTGTAAAACAGAACAATAGCAGTTTCTATTGTGAGGATCAAATAAGACAATATGTGTAAAATATTTAGCAGAGTGCTTATTAACACATACTAGTAACTCAAGAAATGTGAACTATTACTGCTTTTTTAATTTAACTGGACCATTCTCTCAACTCATCACCTAAAGGTGAGAACTAGAAACTGAGGTATAAGACTTCCCCAAACTGAAGAACTAATAAAAACAGGTTAAGACTCTCAGTCCTAACTTTAAACAAATATCACCTCTAATTAATTATTCTTCTATATAACAGCAACTGACTAAACTGAGTATTCTTTGTTCATGAATTAGTTACATACAGCTTTGTGCAAAGAAGTGGTACATCCATTCAGACAAGTCAGCCATGGGATAAGGATTTCAGAGAACCAAGTTTTAACCCCATCTTGCATGAAATACGACATGGTATCATAGAAAGAGCATACAAATCTCAGCTCTGACACTAAGAATTATGCGGCATTGTTATTAAAATATCTTTAAGCCTTGGTTTTCTCATCTGATGGCAACATTATCTGCAAAACTCACAAGAATGGTGTAATACTTAAATAAAATACAATGAAAAGTGAGTAATAAAATTAAGTGTATACAGTAGTCACTAAAGAGAGTTGGCCCATTCCCTGCTCGCCCTTTCCTTTCCCTCAAGTTACATGTTCCCTGAGATAAATTATTTCAAAATTGTCTGAATTGATAGTTCTTCAACATGAAGATCTAATGACAAATCAAACAGAATTAAATTCTAATGTTACCTGGAAATGGATGCCTGGAAACTAACTCTTCTGGAAGTCCAAGTTCTCTGCCTAAGATTCTTACTTCATCTTTATGAAAATCTTTCAGAGGTTCTATCACTTTTCCCTACAGGGGGGAAAAGCCAATTAGTATAAATTAGTAAACAAAATAACATGGAAAACAAAGAGTATCAAATTGTTGGCTTTTCTTGTCTTTTACCTTGGATTTAGAAATCATTTTTTAAAATTTCATCTTATAATGTATTTCCTATGTGCTTATAAGGAATTAGATGAATAATTTAGTGATCTTATTTCTTTTTGAAACATATTTTAAATATAAATAAATCAGAGCAAACCTACCCTCCATCTCTGATATAGTTCTCATTAGAATACAAGGCAATTTAAAAATATACAAGTGTTTCAAAATTAAAGCTCTCCAAATGATACCATCAAGAATATGAAAGATAACCCACAGAAGGCGAATCGTATATCTTATAAAGGACTTATAATTAGAATATATAAAGAACACTTAAAATTCAATAAAAGATAAATTAATTAAAAACGAGTAAAAGATCTCAATTGATATTTCTCCAGATAAGATATACAAATGGCCAATAAGCACATGAAAAGATGTTCAACATCATGAGATATTAGGCAAATGCAAATCAAAACCACAATAAGACACCACTTTAAGATGCCAAAATATGGAGACAGATAATTCACATCCATTACAATAGCTATCACAACAGAAAATAACAAGTGTTGGCAAGGTGTAGAAAAATTGAAACCCTTGTGTATTATTGGTGAAAGGTACTATGGTGTAACTGCTATGGAAACATAAAGATGGTCCCTCAAAAAATTTAAAACAGAACTACCATATGATCCAGCAATCCCACATCTTGGTATATATCCAAAAGAATTGAAAGCTGGGTCTCCAAGAGATATTTGCAAACTCATGTTCATAGCAGCACAATTCACAATAGCCAAAAGTGGAAGCAACCAAAATGTCCATCGACAGATAAATGGATAAACAAAATGTGTATATACATATAATAGAATATTATTCAGCCTTAAAAAGGAAGGAAATCTTGTCACATGCCAACATGGATGAACCTCAAGGACTTATGCTAAGTGAAAAAAGCCAGTCACTTATATAAGGTATCTGAAGTAGTCAAATTCACAGAAACAGAAAGTAGAATGGTGATTACCAGGGACTAGGGAGAGGGAGAAAAGGGTAGCTGCTGTTTAGTGGGTACAGAGAGTTTCAGTTTTGCAATTTGACAAGTTACGGAAACCTGTTTCACAACAATGCAACTACACGTAACATTACTGAACTGTGCACACTTAAAATTGGTTATGGCAGGGAGGAAAAGAGCTTTATGGGAAAGTTCGCGAAGTTTTTACCTCTTCTCTCAACTTTCTGATGAGCTCTGTGTCGTTGTGATGCGTTTTGATAAGTTCAGCTTTGCCACTTGCAACAAGTGATGCACTTTCAATTAGATCAGGCCGTAAAGTACCTTGGGCAAGGAAAACTTCCTCGGGTTTCAGGTTCATTTCTCCAATTACTTCATTGGCAATCTATAACCAACAGGAGTAAATCAGCCTTTAAAAGATCAATCTTTTAAAAAGACAGTAAAATCTTATACTTTCAGCTAAATTTCTCACAGTCCTTGTGCAATACTGACCAGATGAAATCCGCCAACTCCCAAAATAAACTCCTTTAGGAACTTATGTTCTTCAGAGAACATGTTTTAACATAATTCGAAGAGTAATGCAAACATTCCCTTCAAGAGCCTGAAAACTAGCTATTGAAATGCCTGAAGAACTAAAATCTAATAGCAACTCAAAATACCTATTCTTAAATAGTTACAATAGCCTGAAAACGTAAGTATACATTTTTTTTTTTTTACAAATATAAAACAATTCCTACAGGTCAGCATAATAGCAAAATAGAGTTAAGATTCTTAGCAAAAAAAAAAAAGTATCAAAATTAGTCAGCAAATTTGGTTATTTGATATAATAACAAAGAAAAACAAATACTAAAATTCACATAAAAAATACTACAAAGCAACAAAATAGTTTTGAAGAAGGCAAAATAAAGCTTTTTTTCAGACATAAAAAAAAAATACTACACACTAAGGAAATTTAAAAGGCACCTTAACAAAAGTATCCCCAATAATTTTTCTTTTCTCCTCAGGACTTGTGGTCATATTTAACGTTTTGCTAATTCTTTTTCGTGGAGTTCTGTCTTCATCTGATATTGGCAGAGTTGTTGTTCCATTATAGAAAGAATGAGCAGCATTTATCACTGGGGAAGAGAGGACAAACATGTTTTAAACTAATAGAAGATATTTTTAAAATCATAATAACAAATCAAACTACAGGAAGAAAGTCTAGATGAATCCTTTGATCGTCCATTAATTTGCCTACATTTTCCAGGACTACCAATAAACAAACCATGCTTAACACAGTCCAGACACAGGCACTCAGTAGTGTCCTTTAGTGAATCCTGTGACATTTAATGACCTAGGCTCATGATATCATAAATTATGCTCGTTGCTTTCCCTCTGTTAGGTGCTCCACCAGAGCAACACGCAAAAGCCACAGCAAGAAGCATGGTCCCAAATGAACTGAAAGCAGTGCCTTATATACAGGAATCAAAGTTCTCAGAACTGCAAATTGACTAATTTCTTTAAAAACTGACAGTTATTAACATATAGCTACTATCTACTGGTCCTTGACAGTCCCTTCACATTTAAGAGCAAGGTGCTCAAAAACTGACTAAGATCTCTATTTGGTAATAAGGCTGAACAACCGACAGGCTTCACTGCAAGATGACAAGGCAGCTGGCTATTTCATCTCCAATCTCCTGCCTATCAGCATTCTGGTAAATTGAACAAAGGAACTGTCAGGGGGAGGAAGTCACCATTCAGTACGTAAGATTTTTACTTAGGCCTACTGTTTTTAATGTAAATTCTTACTTCCACCCTCAACTATGCCTGATATTGATATGCCCAAGTCCCAAGCCTCTCCAGTTTAGCCTCACTAGAGGATAAACCCAGTCTTCTGATGGGCACAGATAGCAGCAGCTTGTCCCTGTGTTAAGGAAAAGGAGCTGCTTCCCAGATTTTCAACCAGCCCACTTGAGACTCACCCAGAGAACCACAAGCAACAGGAAAGCCAATGCTTCCAATCCCTGGGCCTCCCCAGGAGTCTTGCTTTTTGTTGGCTTCCTCCCCTCACCATCACCCTCACCCCAAGGTTTTAAGGTCCCCCATTCTACTATGTCAGTTACCAGGGACAGACGCAGGTTTTCGATCACAAATCACATATGCATTATACAGACAATACCTCAGTTTATTGTGCCTCACTTTGTTGTGCTTCACAAATGTTGCATTTTTTTTTACAAATTGAAGGCAAGAGCCTCCACCAGTGAAAAGATTACAATTCGCTTTATTGCAGAGGTCTCGAACTGAACCCACAATATCTCCAAGGTATGCCTGTACCACTAAAATCCAAACTAAATGTGTACCTAACTCAACTTTTTCTTAGCCTACCCCAAAAGGCCCACAGCCAGTCCAACACCACCCAACACAGAGCAAGCTAGAGTGGAAAAACCAAGTGAACTTAATTAACTACAAATTATTAAAATATCTTAATTGCAAATTTCATAAAAATGTATGACCATGTGAAGATACTACTAGGGTCCCTCCTAGTATTTCAGAAAAGGCTACCAAGGGTTCATGAAACTTAAACTTCATTAGTTTATCAGCTATAATCCACATTATTCATCTGCTTTCTGCATTCTAACGTTTTGTTGAAATCATTCTACTGCTATCACCGCCTCTATTCTTTGTCCTTGTGAGATTATACTTGTTTTATGCCTGTACTGTTATTTTAGTGACGTTTCAAAAGGAGAAAGAAATAGACTCATCTTCACTTCATGTTTTACTCCAGTCTTCATTTTATATTCAGCCTCTCAGCATCAATTTCAATTAGTTCAATAATATATATGGTCTGCATCATTAAACTACTGACTTAATTTCACTATAACTAGTGATTACACCTAGTTTTTAAAAAGTATAAAAGATTTCAACAAATGTTAAGTGCAGTTAAGCCCCCAAAAGTTTATTAGTGTCCTTAAAAAAATAAAGTGACTATAGACTTCACTCCTCTCCTCTGTATAAGCCTTTGTTTGTAAAATAATCTGTATATCAGTGCCTACTATAAAAAGGCTTGGATATTCTCATGCATAAATATTATGGGTAGGAAAAAATTTTAAAAAAGAATGAGTAGAAGAGAACAGAATGGTAGCTGGAATACAGTAACTTATTGATCTGTATACAATATTAGAAGTAATCAACAGTTTTAAAATTTATACTGGGGTCCCTCCTGAACCAGAAGCAATTATAATATAAAAATAAAAAATATTTTCAACAATGAACTTACTGGGAAAACTGTACTTGGTTAAGGGCAATGTTCTCACTTAAAGCTAGATTTGATCAAACAAATCCTGACATGCAAATTAACTTTTCTGGGGTTCATCAATACCTTTGACCTGAATTCCGAGCTTTTTGAGAGCCTCTTCTACAGACTGGCTTTCTCGTTTTCGCATAAAGCCATTATCAATGTGCACAGCAATGACTTGATCTTGGTTCAAAGCACGATTCAGCAAAGCTGTACAAACTGTTGAGTCTACACCACCACTGAGTAAAACCTACGGGGTGAAATGAGAAGAAAAATCAAATGGAGTACAATAAGCAAAAAGAAAATAAAAACTATCCGCTTAAATTGTTACCTAAAAACAAAGGAATGTATGGTAACTGAAAAAGCACTCTCAAACAGTGCAACTCACAAAGCATACGATCACCCATTCAACACTGAAGGGCTATGTTGAGGAAGCCAGCTCTAATATTACTGGCATAAATTTGTAGACTTTCAGATGTAAATTGCTTACCAAAACTTTTGATGTGCCCACTCTCTCTTTGATCTCTCGGATGCACTCAAGTTCTCTGTTCTGCACAGTAAAGGTCCCACTGCACCCAGCTATGTCATAGAGGAAGTTCTTCAGTATTACTTTCCCATTTTCTGTAAGGCCAACTTCAGGGTGGAACTGTGCTCCATATAATTTTTTAGATTCATTTGCTATACCTTTATAGAGAAAATAATCATAAATTAAAATGTATGTTGAAAGGACTCAAATAGTACCCACAATAACTCCTCACAATTTCTTCCTCCAATGTTAAAACAGATACAAATTAGTTCAATTTTTAGTGACAGGAAAAATAAAAACTAAAAACT